AAAAAAAAAACTAACAGATGCGCCCGGAATTGCGTGAGATAATATGATCTAACTAAAATTTTTTTTTTGTTGCACTACTTATGATCGCCAGTGTAGGTCTATATAATATTGAGCGGCAATGGTAATACTGATTAATTGGTTTTGAGGTCTTAGGGGCTGCCCGCCAATATTTAAGGCGCCTTGAAATTGACCATTAGCATTTTGTGAACCGCCAATATTCTGATGCCTTTGCAACAGGCCATTATTGTTTTGTAGTTGAGAGTTAGCAATTAGAGCCGTGGATTGATTCATATTTGTAATTTTTTTTTAAAAAAAAACTTTGGAGTAAAAGGGGTTTTTATATTTTTTAGATGTTAAAGTATCGGTAGCAATATATACACTGTTGTCACTTGGCCTTTTGGCTGGCCATTGGCTGCGGCCATTGGCCGAATTGGCCAAAAAAAATTATTTGGCCGAAATGGCCAAATATTCATATAGAAAAACTGGCAATATGATTGGTTAATGTTATAAAAGTTAGAAACTTTTGGCTGAAATTTGAATTCTGGCCATTGGCCGTTGCCTATTTTGGCCGGCCAAAGGCCAACAAAATTGTTTGGCTGCAAGAAATTGTCAACACTGAATATAGATCAATATATATGGTATCATTATTGATATTAATATGCGGGAAAGAGAAACTTCTTAATGTACACGTTATTATAAATTCTGAAATATAACTAACCAAATTCAACGTTTGTTTATAAAAATAGTGATGTCGAAACAATATTTTATGGCGTACGAAGTCACTTGTCATTAAATGCGCCAAAATGAGCTTGATATATTCAAGACGCCAAATTGGATATAAAGATCCGGAAGATTCCGATCTAAATAATTAATTAATCTAAAATATGTGCACATTCCTTGAAAAGAAATGGAATTTTTTTTAGTTATCTCAAGAATAATGAAAATAAAAGTAATCAAATTCTACAGAAAGCAGTGTAAACTAAACTTTGTGCCAATTATATGTGGATCAATATATACAATTTACATTACGCCAATTTTCATACAGATTATATATATAGTATATGGCGTAATTTTATAAATTACATAGTAAATTGTGCGAATTTCTAAACTTTAACAGCTTATAACTTTAATGTTTAGGCTTTTTTAAAAAATTTTTAACCAATAAATATAATAGTTACTTGAAAATGCACCTTTTTTCTTTTGGTTTTTGCAACAATAGTTTTCGTGACACTAATAAGAGATCAATAACGTTTAAATAATATTTGATGTGTTAATTTGGGTATTTTATTTCGCTATACTTGTAGGTTGAAACAATGACGTTGAAAAAAAGCAACAAGTATAACGAAAGCCTGTTTATAGTAGTAATTTTTTATTATTGACGCGATTTACACATTCCTGAATTTTGTTTTTTGCGTAAAATACCAATCTAGTGTTACGGTTTCCATGGAATTGACGTGTGTAGTGTCTGAGATGCCAAGATCCTGGGTTTCTATTTTTTACATATACAGAATTAAAATAAATGATTGTTTATGTAATCGCCTATGTTGTACGTGCATGTAAAATTTTACCAAATTTAGGAAATAAAATGAAATTTTTATGCTTAATTAATCGTTATTGTGCTTTGTAAAAAGGTACCGTACATACAATTTCTAAATATCATGTGAAATTTTAAAGTTTACGGTGGTGGGTATATATTAAAGTAGTACGGTACGGAAACTCAAAGTATACACTGTTACGCAAACAAATTCATTACGCAAATAATGTAAAGATGCATATCTCGATTTATAATTCATTACGCAAATAATGTAAAGATGCATATCTCAATTTATCCGTAAGTAGCAATAAAGTTATCTAACAAGTCAGAGATTGGTTTATTTACTTGAAAATTGTGTAACATTAAACAAATAAGAGACGCATTCTTTCATTCCCTAACAAGAAACAATTACGCACCGCAAACATATGTAGTAAATGTCGTAAGTGGGAATGGAATTTAAATGAATTTGGAATCTCATTAAAATTTATTTTATATAAGCCTTCACAAACCTAAGAAATTTCAAATTCACTTATATTCCATTCCCACTTAAAACATAAATATACATTTTAACCCTATAAAAAAAATTAACCTTCGTTCTTATCATGCAACTATGGATCAAGAACAACTTCATGTTAATGTTAAAATTAATATCTTTAAATATACTCAAAACCCATTAAGTATTATATTGACTTGTAAAGAATGGTGTAATTTTGCCAACATTAGTGAAGCTAAAGCGGATTGGATTATTAGCAAATATGGAAGGGCACACGCTCTTTTTTATGCCGTCAGCTTAGGCACATCTTTCATTGATTTGCCACTGCCCAGGCTTTGATTACTAAACGCGCAGTTCTTTCAAGATATTTTATTCAAAGGCTTCTTTTACATTATGGAAGTTAAAATCAAACATTAATAGGATTAAAGATTAAGCATAATGTTAGACAAATTGACCTTAATCGAATAAAGTCGCTGCTACAAAAAGTACGTGCGCCTTGGGCTAGTGACTTACAGTTGTCTGTCTTTGCTTATTTTCTGACGGTGGCACAAAGCCTGTTTGAAACAAATAAACTTTGCATTAAAGGAAATGATATGGAGCTTTTCCATTTTCTTTCTGCTGGGCCGCATGTTTTTAAGGACGCCCCAGCCATTTTGCAAAAAAATATGGATGCTATTAAAGACTTAATACTTTGTAAAAAATTTATTCCGTTTTCTCCTAGACCTCCTAGAAAATGTACAAACGTTTGATTACATATTCCTGAAGTCTAAAGATGGTTATGAAAATAATAAACAATTAAATATTATCGCCCGTGCAATCTTAATTTGCAAAAATTTGGTTCAAATGTGGAAAGAAATCGGCTATTATGAAATATGCAATGATGTAAATGACCTTGTAATTCAGGGTTCACTTCTTATTCTTTTTCCACCAAATCCTCCAATTGAATGGGTTCGACCAGGCGTTATTGCTATTACTGAGTGGCTCATGGAATTAATTGAACTTGGATTTCAACTAAATTATAACGTTATTATCACTATTCTTTACTTTTTGAGGATAAATTAGAAAATATTGGTGAAACATTAATGAAGTCATTTATGCGCATTAAGCAAGATACTCGAGAGAATTTCTCGGATAATTGTTTGATTGAATCATTAAAACCTCATCATAATTCAAATAAGTATCAAGTTTGGAATTTTCTTTATGCTTTTGTTCAAAATAATCCTGAAACTGCTTTTAGTAAAGCGTTTAACTAATATTTCATAAAAAATGAAAATTTAATGAATGAATCTGAAACTGAAAAACTTTCGTCATCAAATTTTATGATTGTGTACTTATAAAATTTGGTCCAGACGCGCAAATCACAAAACTTTGTTTTGAAGACATATTAAAAGCTCGCGTTAATATAGATAAAAAACTTCAACAAAATATCAACGCAGACATACCTCCAGGAATAAATCAATACGAATTTCATGCAATTTGTAATATTTTTAAGGTCTATTGTAATACAAGCAATTTTTATCTTCCATCTCATTTAGTAATGATCGCTCAATGCACTAGCCAAGAAATTCTAGCCTCATTATTCAAGTATTATCTACCTGATTTATTTAACATAGAAAAACTTTTGAACTACCAATGCAAGTTGTTGATGATTCTGATAATCATTATAATCATATATTTCCAAAATCTACTAAGAGAAAAAGAAAAACCCAGATTTTAAAAGAGCGGAATCAAGCATTGAATGATATATCGAAGCATAATAATACTCAAATCAGATTTACAGGAACATTTCGTAACTACCTTCATGAATTTATTTATGATAAATTACCAAATTCAGAGTTTTCTAGTATAAATACGTAGCTGAATGTTATTAGGGTTTAGAACCGTTTAACTGGTTAAAATTGTTCTATAGAATGATATTGGTTGTGGCCGGAATTATTTTAATACCGGCTAAATTAAATGGTTATTCCGGTTAAACGATTAGAAAGATCTTAGGCGGTTCCAACCCCTAAACGTTATTATTAACCTGTCAAATATAACTATTCTATATTAGCAGACATTTCTATGTGCAGATGATAATTAGGAACGATTTATCGATTCTATTATTCGCACTATCAAACTAGATCTAGCTCATTAAAAAATGAAATACAAAATTGGTACATCTATCATTAGAAGTAGATTGATATTAGAGATTGATAGTAATTAGAAATAAATTGTGCATGAAATGCTAATCATAATATTAGAAACATATTATGTGCATATTTATAAAGAGCAAGCTTTGGTACTGTTATATATAATTAATCTTTTAATAATGGCAATTACTTTTTAGAGTTGCTTTTATAGAATAATTGCTTGGGTTAAAAATATATTTAATCCGAGTTTTCATATTATCAAATGTTGCTAGATTGTTATATATTCAATATTTGCATACAATTAGGTTTCATGTCATCAAATATTACCAGATTGTCTGAAACATTATATCAATCAATATTTATACACAGTTATTTATAGATTAGCTATTATATTTTTCTAAATTTTTTGTATGTAAAAATTTATGTAATAGAAGTAACATACATGCATAAAATAAGTTTTGATATGCGACAGCAAAATTTTTCTATAGACTTAATCTAAAATATTATTAAATAATTTGAAGCAATATCACTTGTTATTGGTTATGGTTATATTGTAGGCGATGATTGATTATCATTGGATAATGCATATTTCATCTTATAAATCTGGATGTAGAGATATTTTCCTATAGAAATCCTGTCCATTATTTGACGAAATTCTGATCTGATATCAGAGCGAATAATACGGCAAAAACAAACATAAACTTGTAAAACATAGTTAATACTGATATTCAGGCAAAATAAAGCATAGATACTATTAAAATTTTGCAAGGAATTTTTTTTATTAAACAGAAAGATAATTTCACAAGTAAAATTACATGTCACTTGAAAAGCTTCGATTTTTATGTTATACTGGAACTTGTGAATTAATTGGTAGCGAAAAAGTTGCGTAATCTACGTTGTCTAATTAGAGATAATATTTTCATACATCTAACAGAAATGTGAGGAGAAATAGACTTCAGCATTTTGTGGGGTATGTACGTACGTACTACGTTACAGTGCAGCGGATTTTTGCGAATCCGTAATACAAACCCAAAAAGAATATAAATACGATAAAATTTGTCAGTAAGCGATTGTGTAAACAATTATATACTTTAAAAAAAATAAAATTTATATATCACTTTTTTCCTCAATTTCA